AGAACCGCTGGGATTGCAGGCCTTCGCCACCGCACCCCACTCGAATAGTTTAGAATAGTTTAACTTCAAACATTTTGACCAACTTGCATCCTTCCGGAATTCAAAGTCAGCCTCAGCAAAAGCGAGGTGCTGAGCAATTCAGTGAGACCCTGTCTCTAAAAAAAAAATACAAAATAGGGCTGGGGATGTGGCTCAGTGGTCCAGTGCCCCTGAGTTCAATCCCCAGTACCCAAAAATAAACAAACAAACAAACAAACAAACAGGAGACCTCATGCTGAGGGAGGGCAGACTAAGAGGGAAGGCTATACAGTATCTGCGTGTTAGAGCTTTTATATGAACCTGTCTTACTGTACTGGAATGCCAGCACTAAGCAACATCACTAAGACAAAACGGAGAAGAACTGGAACTGTGGGTAAAGTGTTAGCATATAAAGGAAAAGATAAAATAGAGAGGGAAAAAAGTTAATCACCCTTCTTAAGTGCTGATGTCTCCATCTAGCATGTGATGAGGTGGAAGTTTTTCTCTTCCCATCATGTGACTTCACCTTGCTTACTTGTGAGCTGAATTCCTCAAGCATTCCAGATTCCCCTCCCATTTTGAATAATTATATATCTAAAGGTACACACCATGCTTTCAAAAATGGTGAATTTTAGAAGCAAGTGTGTAGAGGGTGGGGATAACTCTCCTGAGAATAAAGCAAGTTATGCCAGATGTTTTGGTGTCAGTGACAAGTCAGGTTGGTCATAATTGACCCCAATTAACTCTCAGGATGATTCACTCTCTCATCCACACATGCCAGGATGTGAAATTTTGCATTGTTTCTTTGAAGTTGTCCAAGAAACTCCATGTCTCAGTTTGATTCTTTGGATCCACTGCTGCAGCTGGGCAAGAGCACACAGCCACAACAGAAACTGACTTTGGGAAGTGATTGGCTGATGAGGAAAATGGTTTGCCAGTTACCCACCAAGACTGTGAATTCTAGTAAACAAGGTGAGGGAACAAATTTGCCTTTGCTAAGACACTAAAATTCAGTGTTCAAATAAAGTAATATTTTAGCCTTGGTGGAAGCTACTTGGGGATAGAGTTGATAAGGAACTGAATATCTAAGAAAAGATGGATGGGCTGGGGATGTGGCTCAAGCGGTAGCGTGCTCGCCTAGCTTGCCTGCGGCCCAGGTTCGATCCTCAGCACCACATACAATCGAAGATGTTGTGTCCGCCGAGAACTAAGAAAAAGTAAATAAATGTTAAAAATTCTCTCTCTCTCTCTCTCTCTCTGTCCCCCTCTCTCTCTCACTCTCTCTTTAAAAAAAAAAAAAAAAAGATGGAAATAATTTCAGTTTTTAAGGCAGGAAATTTCCAACCAAGGCAAAGAGTTTTTCACTTTCAGTCTTAGCTTCAAACTATAGGTGTAGGTTGGGCCAGGTGCAGTGGTACGCAGCTGGAATCCCAGAAGCTTGGGAGGCTGAGGCAGGATGATCACAAATTCAAAGCTTCCCCAATAATTTAGCTAAGGCTCTAAGCATTTATGGAAAACCTGTCTCAAAAAAGAGCTGGTGCGCTGGGGATGTGGCTCAGCGGTAGCGCGCTCGCCTGCCATGCGTGCGGCCCGGGTTCGATCCTCAGCACCATATACCAATAAAGATGTGTCTGCCGAGAACTAAGGTAAAAATGTTAAAAAAAAAAAAAAAAAAAGAGCTGGTGATATGGCTCAGTGTTAAGTGCCCCTGGTTCAATCCTGTGGCTCAGAGGTTAAGTGCCCCTGTGTTCAATCCCTGGTATATAAAAAAAATAAATAAAAAAGAAGGAAAAAATACAAAGATTCATGTCTGGGCCATGTATAGAGGCACATGCTTGTAATCCTAGAGACTCTGGAGGTTGAGGCAGAATGATCCCAAGTTTGAGGCCAACCTGAGCGATTTAGGAAGAACCTATCTCAAAAGGATTGGGAATATGACTGAGTAGTTATATACCCCTGGGTTTAATCCTCAGCTAAGTTTAGTCCCTGGGAAGTTAATTTCAGTAATTTAGAGGCTGCTAATTGGCAAACCAAGATACACATCTGGTGGACGGATTTCCTTGGCATATATTGATATCTGAGGGTTTAAAAGTGAGTTGCCGGGCTGGGGTTGTAGCTCAGTGGTACAGCTTGCCTTGAACTGGGTTTGATCCTCAGCACCATATAAAAATAAATAAAATATTGTATCTATCTACAACTAAGAAAAAATTTTATTTTATTTTTTTTAAAGAGAGAGTGAGAGAGGAGAGAGAGAGAGAGAGAGAGAGAGAGAGAGAGAGAGAGAGAGAGAATTTTAATATTTTATTTTTTTTTTTAGTTCTCGGCGGACACAACATCTTTGTTGGTATGCGGTGCTGAGGATCGAACCCGGGCCGCACGCATGCCAGGTGAGCGCGCTACCGCTTGAGCCACATCCCCAGCCCCTAAGAAAAAATTTTAAAAAGTGAGTTGCCAAAATTTAAAAATTGGGATATTGCATAAAAATATCTTGGTTGCCTCTTGTCCTAAATTCAAAGTGTCTGCCAATACTAGGCATTCAAGCTGGCAGCAATTATCTGCTGCTGAATAGCAGCTGTCTCCTTTAGTCTTGGTCAACTAACTCTCTGGCTCCCTAAGGTCCTCACCACTCCCTATTGTCTTCCAGAAGCTGAGGCTGAGAGTAATATACCATTTAAAAACACAATTGGAGCTGGGTGTGGTGGTGTGTACCTGTAATCCCAGCGACTCAGGAGGTTGAGGCAGAAGGATGACAAGTTCAAAGCCAGCCACAGCAATTTATCGAGGCCCTAAGCAACTTAGTGAGACACTGTCTCAAAAAATAAAAAACAAAAAGGGCTGCAGATGTGGCTCAGTGGTTAAGAATCACTGGGTTCAATCCCTGGTACCAGAAAACAAACAAAACCAAAGAATCACAGTTGGATTATTTTCTTTCTTTTTTTTGGAGTACTGGGGGTCAAACCTGTTCTACCCCACCCTTTTTAAAATTTTGAGACAAGGTCTTACTAAATTGCTGAGTCTCACATAGAATTTGTGGATTTGCAGTCCTCCAGTTAGGGGGGTGGCACACTCCTATAATCCCAGCCTGTAACCAAAGCCACTCAGGAGACTGAAACAGAAGGATCACAAGTTCAAGGCCAGCCCTAAGGAACCTAGTGAGACCCTGTTTCAAAAATAAAAAAGGCTGAGCACCTCTGGGTTCAATCCCTGGTACCAAAAACAAACAAACAAACAAACAAACAACCAAAAAAACCCAAAAACGTGATTCCCCTGCCTCAGCCTCTCAAGTTGTTAAAATTAGAAGTACTGGGCTGGGGATATGGCTCAAGCGGTAGCGCGCTCGGCCTGGCATGCGTGCGGCCYGGGTTCGATCCTCAGCACCACATACCAACAAAGATGTTGTGTCCGCCGAGAACTAACTAAATAAATAAATATTAAAAAATTCTCTCTCTCTCTCCTCTCTTTAAAAAAAAAAAAAAAAAAAAAAAAAAAAGAAGTACTGGCATGTTTCACTGCTCTTGGTTTTAGGCTACTTTTCCAACATCCTGGTGGTACACACCTGTAATTCCAGCGACTCAAGAAGCTGAAGCATGGGGTTTAAAATTAGAGGCCAGCCTTTGAAATTTAGGAAGACCCTGTCTCAAAATTTTAAAATATAAAGGCCTGGAAGATGTGGCTTAGAGGTAAAGAGACCCTGGTTTCAATCTCCAGTACAAAATTAAAAAAACAAAAACAAGACTTTTGATTTATTATTACATACTAAAAACTATAGTTACTATAGAATCAATTACAAATTTTAATTGTAATCTAAAGATGATCTGATCTTTGCCCCCCTTTTCACATACCATAAGTCCGATACTTTGTTTTTTTTGGTACTAGGGATTGAATCCAGGGATGCTTAACCCCTGAGCTACATCCCCAGCCATTTTTTTGAGATAGTCTTGCTAAACTGCTGAGGCTGGCCTTGAACTTCCAGTTCTCTTGCCTTAGCCCCCAGAGGCACTGGGATTACAGGTGGGTGTCACTGCACCCGATATTTTAGGTGCAGGAACTGCATGGARTTCCTGGAATACATAACCCTGTTCAGGACTGCCTTTCCTGAAATTATTTTCCCCACACAAGTGCCCTCATTTGCCCACGCACTACCTTTGCTTGCAAGTTCCCATACTTCAAAGCTCAGTTAATTTTCTTGCCTCTGGAACTTCAGTTATTCATTCAACACTGTACACCCACCATCTGCTGGGCAGAACGCAGCCTAGTAGGTGACAGTCAATAATCATTAAATGCTTCCAGGAAACACACAGGGTACTATGGRGGAGAAGGGCAAGTTAAATTGGGGATTAGGAGAGATAACTGGGGGAATCTTTGGTCAGGTCTGAAGGATGAGGCAGTAGCTGAGCAAAACAAATGTGGGGGCAAGAGTGGGAGAGCATCACTGAAAAAACAGATTAAAAAGGAAAGGGGGGGGAGGGGGTGCCCGGGTTGTGTCTCAGTGGTAGAGCACTCAACTGGCATGTGCGTGGCCCTGGGTTCGATCCTCAGCACCACATAAAAATGAATAAAAATACAGGTATTGTGTCCAACTACAACTAAAAAATAAATATTGAAAAAAAAAAAAAGTTAAACGGGGGCAAGCTGGGCTCCGTGGCATAGGCCTGTAATCCTAGCGGCTCAGGAGGCTGAGGCAGGAGGGTCCTGAGATCAAAGCCAGCCTCAGAAAAGTAAGGTGCTAAGCAACTCAGTGAGACCCTGTCTCTAAATAAAATACAAAATTGGTCTGGAGATGTGGGTCAGTGGTCAAGTGCCTCCGAGTTCAATCCTGGGTACCCCATGCCCCCTGTAAAAGAAAAAGAAAAAATAAAGTAGGGACAGAAAGGAAAGCAGAAGCTGAAGAACTGAAAGGAGTCCCAGTGGCTGGAGTGTAAAGCATGGGAGTTGTAGAGAACACCTGGAAAAACCTCCAGGATTACTCCCCCCCCCCCAGTACTGGGGATGGAGCCCAGGGCCTTATTATGCATGTTAGGCAAAGACTACCACTAAGCTCTTCCCTAGCAGGATCTTCAGCCTTCCTGAGGTGCCTCAAGAAGCTGAAGCAGGCGGTTTGTAAATTAGAGGCCAGCCTTGGGAATTTAGGAAGACCCTGTCTCAAAATTTAAAAAAATATAAATTCCTGAGGTGCCCCCCAAGCTAGGCCAACCCTTCTTTAGTGCATCCTCTGGATTATACTGGTACTGTTTCTGTCACATTGTTCAACTCCCAAGGTAGAGACTAAATTTTGGACACTCAATTCATCACAAATAATCAGTTTGGTTGACACAGACAAAAATCCGGGATCAGAAGTTTTCTTGGCTCTATTATTAAGTGGCACTCTAAACCTGGGCCAAGTTCCTGATGCCCTTTTCAAATCTATGGTGCAAGAGACCTACTTGACTGTACATATCAAACTATCTCCTCAAATAACACACTCATCAACCTTGGCAGGCAACTCAGTGAGACCCCGTCTCTAAATAAAAATAAAAGGAAGGTCTGAAGATGTAGCTCAGTGGTTCAGTGCCCCCTAGTTCAATCCTTGGCACCAAAAACAAACAAATAAATAAAGTAGGATAGGAAGGAAAAAATAATTTCTAAAAATGACTTAGAATGAAAGGCATGGGTGGTTCTGAATTCATCCCAGTAATAAAAAGAGGACAAAATGCATTATGAACCCCATTACCTCTAGATTGAGTCACCAGTTCATGGGGGACTACAATAAATTCCTAGAGTTAGGCTAAAGGGGGACAGTGACTGACTACCAGAAAATAAACACTGACTTTATTAACAACATCGGCAGAAAGGGTTTCCAATTTCTCAGACGAAAACTAACATGAAACCAGCACCACCTGGTAAGCGTTACAAGATTAAATGCTCACATCACATTTATTGTTCTGATAGCTCACTGCCACACAGTGAAGGGTCATCAGGACAACTGCCATCAGAGCTGCTGCAAGAACAAGCTTTTTACTGGGGGGTAGATTCATAGTCAGCTCCTCTGACAGCTGACTGCAAGGATATTCCTGTTCAGCTCTTGGTGTAGAGAAGACAAATCAATTTAGAGAACAGAGTCTTGCTTCTCAAATTCAAGAAAAACCATTAAATAACCGATTAGTTTTTCTTGGACTGTCTGTCAGTGCACTATGAAGAATCCTTTTCCACCCCCACCCTTGTCTGGGYGAGGGGAGGAAAGGGTGGCAAGGGGCCAACACACTAGCAGGTGGTTTTGGTGACATGCTGGGCTCTGCTCCCTTTCTGCTGGTGATAGTAGGCGTCTTTCTTGGCAGCTGCAGCAGCTTGATGGGGGAGGCAGGGGCACCCACTGATCACCTCTTTTTAAAGCCATATTTTTTGCGTTCATAGAAGAGATCTGTCTTAGAGCTCCCCAAATTGACAATCTTTGGGCAACCATCTCTCTGGAAAACAGAATAGAGAAACTGGTAAGTCAGAATCTGAATCAAGAGGAATTGAAGATATAATTCAGTACAGAGGAATAAAAGTTAATCTTTTGCCCTAGTATTTGAAGACCATAACAGGTCTCGGGGTGTGCTCAGTAGTTAGAATGCTTGCTTAGCATTTGATTCTCATATCTCAGCCCCCCAAAAGAAGAAACAATGAAAGGATTTGCAAATGTGTACTAGCTCCTTAATTGGGAGGTTCAAATTAATTAGCACCAAAGGGAAGTGTTTCTTTTCTATCACTTGAGTTTTCAATGATCATTTTATAACTTTTAGGTTAATGGTTTAGTTATTCATCTTTCCAATTATCCTATTTAAATTTTTTTTTTAGTTGTTGATGGACCTTTATTTTATTATTTTTTTAAAAGCAGATTTTTTTTTTTTTTTAAAGAGAGATGAGAGAGAGAGAGATTTTTCAATATTTATTTTCTAGTTCTCGGCAGACACAACATTCTTGTTGGTATGTGGTGCTGAGGATCGAACCCGGGCCGCACGCATGCCAGGCGAGCACGCTACCGCTTGAGCCACATCCCCAGCCCATAATTTTTTTTTAAAGAGAGAGAGAATTTTTTAATATTTAGTTTTCGGTGGACACAACATCTTTATTTTAATTTTATGTGGTGCTGAGGATCGGACCCAGTGCCGAGYGCATGCCAGGCGAGCACGCTACCGCTTGAGCCACATCCCCAGCCCCTGGACCTTTAWGTGGTGCTGAGAATCGAACCCACTGCCTCACACATACTAGGCAAGTGCTCTACCACGGAGCCACAATCCCAGCCCCCCCATTATCCTATTTGATCTATTAGAATTTACAAGTTGGTGCACCTATAATCCTTGTGACTTGGGAGGCTAAGGCTGAAGGATCCAAGCCAGCCTTAGTAATTTAGCAAGACCCTAAATAACTCAGTGAAACCCTGTCTCAGGAGGCTGGGGTTGTGGCTCAGTGGTAGAGCGCTCACCTCGAATGTGAGAGACCCTGGGTTCAATCCTCAGCACCACATAAAACATACAAATAAACAAAATAAAGATATTGTGTCCATGTATAACTAAAAAAAAAAAAAAAAAAAAAAAGAAACAAAGAAACTCTGTCACTAGGGATGTAGCTCAGTGCCAGTTATATTTACTGAATATATAGACATCCAGAAAGTCCCCTGGAGCCTGCCCACTCTGTATTCAGTGACTGCAATTATATTTAAGAATATTTGATTCAACAGGGTGTGGCAGCACATGCCTATAATTCCAGTGACTCATAAGGCTGAGGCAGGAGGATCACAACTTTTGAGGCCAACTTTGACAACTCATCTAGAACCTATCTCAAGGGATGCAGTTCAGTAGTACAGCATCCCCGGGTTCAACAGCTCAATTCTGTTGCTGGTATGACACAGTGCAGGTAGAACCTGAAACTTTTTTTTGCGGGGGTGGGCGGGATGGGTGGGTGACGGGGGATTAAATTTAGCAGTGCTTTACTACTACATCCCCAGACAATTTTATTTTTATGTTGAGACATCGTCTTGCTGAATTGCTAAGTTGCTGAGACTGTTCTTGACTTGCAATCCTCCTGTCTCAGCGTCCTGAATTGCAGGCATATGCCACTGCTTCTGGCCTGAAAACATATTTTTGGCAATAGGAAACTGAACCCAGGGCCTCACACAAACTAAGCAAGTGCTTTATCACTGAGCTATGTTCCCAGTCCTATTTTTTTTTTTTAATCTTTATTTGCCTCGCACGTGCCAGGAGTGCTCTACCGCTGAGCCAAAGCACTGTAGTCCTTTCTTGTTATTAGTTTTTTGGGGTACCAAGGACTGAACTCAGGGGCACTCGACCACTGAGCTACGTTCCCAGCCCTATTTTGTATTTAGAGACAGAGTCTGAATGAATTGCTTAGAGCCTCACTTTTGCTGAGGCTGGCTTTGATCTTGCGATTCTTGTGATTGAGCCTCCTAGGCTATTGGGATTACAGGCATGTGCTACCACGTCCAGTCCCCCCTTTTATTTTGTGCTCAGGTTGATCTCAAATTTGGAATCTTCCGGCCTCAGGCTATTGAGTAGCAAGGATTACGTGTATACCATGTGCCTAACCAGAATCTGAACTCATATGTCCAAAGAATTTTGTTCAACTGAGGGATTAAAAACAATCAGGGCTAGGGCTGTAGCTCAGAGGTATAGTGCTTGTCTAGTATGTGTGAGGCACTGGGTTTGATCTTTAACACAACATAAAAATATAAAGAAAGAAAGGCATAGTGTCCATCTACATCTTAAAAACAACAACAACAACAAAAAACAATTAACTTCAGGTCAAGTGCTCTAGTTCTCCTGGATTATCCCAGAATGGAGAGGATACCACCAAAGGGAAAAACCTAAAGGCTTTAGGAGGATTTCACAAAGTGTCTTGTTAATTCACTTCATTTAATCCAAACACCGCTCCCCCAACCCCCAGCACATGCTTTGTAAGTGCTCTACCACTGAGCTGCACTCAAAGTTAATGCACTTCATCTGAATAAATACATGGTTTTGCAGAGGGCCTGTGCTAAAGGTGGTGTTGAGTTTGTTCTGATTTGTAATGACACGCTGCCCCTTTGGCCATTCTGAGAGCTAAAGTGGTTTCAGTGAAGCTCCCAGGAAGCCCTTTGGAGCAGGAATGACTCCATCACTTGATCTGGGATGCATGGAAGACAGCTGGAAAAGCTGTAACTGGAAAAAACCTTAAAGGTCTGTTGATTTTAAGACACCCACATCAAAGGAGTTGGATTCCTGTCATATTAGACTATAGAATGAATTAATCAGATCCTTAGTCCTCCAATTTCTAACTCAGTTTCTTTCTTTTGGGGGGCCTAATATCAACACAGAAATTTTCCAGAAAACATGTACTCTGTATTATATGGAGTGCTCCCACCTGTGGTGCCTGGTGTATAAGGGAACTAGCCCCACCAATGGCTCACTAGTTGAGCTCTATGTATTTAATCTGTTTTTTTTTTTGTGTGTGTGKGGGGGGCGCGGAGTACTGGGGATTGAACCCAGGGGATTTTAACCCCCAAGCCATATCCCCAACTTTTTTAATTTTTATTTTTTGGTACCAGGGATTGAACTCAGAGGCATTCAACCCCTGAGCCAGAACTCCAGCCCTTTTATGAATCTTATTTAGAGACAGGGTCTGAGTTGTTAAGTGCCTCACTTTTATTAAGGCTGGCTTTGAACTCGCAATCCTCCTGACTCGGCCTCCTGAGTAGCTGGGATTATAGGCGTGTACCACCTTGCTTGGCACATTATGGAGTCTCACTAAGTTGCTTAGGCCCTTGTTAAATTACTAAGGTTGGCTCTGAACTTTCGATCCTCCCACCTCTGCCTCCTGGGTTGCTGGGATTACAGGTGTGTGACACCACACCTGGCTTTAATCTGTGTTTAAAATCCTTTTTTAACAAAGGAAGAATCAAAACAGATGTTGTCCCAGGGCACTTGGGAGGCTGAGGCAGGAGGATTGTAAGTTCAAAGCCAGTACCAGCATTTAGCGAGACCCTAAGCAACTCAGTGAGATCCTGTTAAAAAAATATAAAAAAGGGCTGGGGGGGGGCTGGGGTTGTGGCTCAGTGATGGAGCACTTGCCTCCCATGTATGAGGCACTGGGATGATCCTCAGCACCACATAAAAATAAAATAAAGGTATTATGTCCATCTAAGGAAAAAAAATAGATGGCTGGGTCTCATGCCTGTAATCTTAGCAGGGAAGATCACAAGTTCAAAGCCAGCTTCATCATCAACTTAGGTCCTAAGGAAATTAATGAGACCCTGTCTCAAAAATAAAAAGGGTGAATGTTTGATATCAAATGGGGGCAGTGCTCTACTTTCTTTTAAAGGTGCTGTGAAATTTTGTGGTACAAGGATAACCTAGATTTGTGCACTGTGGTAGTCCTTTCTTTTAGATTCATATTCCTCAAGTATAGAACTAGGGACTAGACCAGGTCAATGTTAAGAAACTGAAGAGAGCCTTAGAAATTCCTGGGAGGGACCAGATGATGAGAGGATATATCCTCCAGTCTGCACAGCTGCATCCCACTTGGTAAAGGCAGCAGGCCCTGGAGCTAGGCCACCTGACTTTTGATAAGTTATTTAACCTTCTTGAGTCTCAGTTTAGTCACACACGAGTATAATGGTAGAACCTACCTCAGAGAATTAAATGGATTCGATGGTTCAAAAAATGTTTACAACAATACCTGGCATACTTCATTCCTTAATAAGTCATAAGAAATTGCCAAAACAAAAATCAGCAATTTCATAATGGTTCAACCTAACCCTACCCTCCCACTAGTTTTGTGTAAAAATCTTTTTTTGTTGTTGGTACTGTGATGCTACTGATTCTGAACCCAGGGATGCTTTACCACTGAGCTGAGTACCCAGCCATTTTTATTTTCTTTTTGTAATTTTGAGACAAGGTCTCACTAAATTGCTTAGGACCTCACTAAGTTGCTGGCATTATAGGTGTGTGTCTCCACCCTAGCAAAAATAACCCTGAAATAGCAATAAAAACCCAGGACTTGAATGGGAATAGAGCTCAGGGGTACAGTGCTCCTGGGTTCAATCCAGAGCATCACCAAAATAAATAAATAAATGGCAAGAGTTAAGGGGATTAATTTGCTGAAATGTAATAAACTACAAATTAGTCCTTGGGTGACAATGTCCACAGATATCATCCCTGGACTCCTGGTTATTTTTGGGCACTAAAAAATTATAATGAGGACACCCAGCTTATCTTACCAGCCTTTATAAATTATGAAAGCTGCAGGAAGCGGGTAACAATAGTGATGGTGGCTTTTGTTGTAGGAAGATTTGTGCATAGGAAAAAGTCTTGGGTACTTAATCTACATGATGATCTGTAAGAATGAGAGACTGGATCATGTCACCGGACTGCTTTGTGTTCCTTGGAAACTAGTGCTGAGTAAATGTGAGCTAAATGCCATCTCAAATATCCTCAGGTCATTCCTGTATAATGTGAAGTAGAGGAAGTGATGTCTAGAATAATTCTTAGAGACCAATGAGGCATAAGGATCCAAAGGTATCAGGTCACACACCACATGCAGAAGAGTCAGACAGCAATTAACATTTATTAAGCATTCTCTGGTTGCAAACTTAAGCCAGATAAAAACTATCTATAACCACACAAGTTCAAGAAAGTGTCACTAAATGGAGTTTATGCTGGGTGTGTGTGCACACACCTGTATTCCCAGCAGCTCAGGAGGCTGAGGTGGAAGATTGCCAAGAGGAAAGCCAGACTCAGCAACTTAGCAAAGAACTAAAGCAACTTAGTGAGACCCTGTTTCAAATTAAAAAAATAAAGCAAAATGGACTGGGGATGTGGTTCAGTAGTTTTGTACCTTCTCTTCACCACTTATTGACTATAAGTAATTACATCTCCTGTGTACCAAACAACCTGTAGGGGGACTAGGGGTAATTTATAGGGACAGCACCAAAAATGTGCACCATTTTTATATTACAAGTCAGACCTGTACCAAGGCCTGAAAAAAGGAGGCACACACAAGATCCAAGGTACTGCCCATCATGGAGTATAATCTAGTTGGTGGAACTGATCCACCATTGTTGGAAGCCAAGTATAATATGATAGTCAAAGGTAAATGTAAACCAATTTAGGAGAGGAAAATATTCAAATCACCAATTGAAATTACGTTTTTGTTACTTAATCTATGACATTTTATATTTCCTAAATAATAGATTAAATGGTGTAAGAAAYAGTTCTTTCTGGCCCAGTATCTTGCACTTCCTAGCAGTAGGCAGGATTCAAACACATACACAACTGAGGTTGTTGGGTTGTTTCTCCTCAACATGGGCACAATACCTGAATGGACAACATGGTATGATGGGAACACCACAAGGTTTTGTCACAGCCTAATTTTGTCATTTATTAGTAGGAGAGAGACATAAAGATGGGATAATACTAACCATCCTTATTTAACAAAGTTATTTTGAGGAATATGGAGATAAAAGGTACAAACTACCTCATCTTTGCTCACAGAAATATGAAGAGTTAACATATTTTAACTTATCCTAGATTAGTAGGTCCTAGATCAGTAACAGTGTACTATTAGCCTAGTAAGWTTATATCATACTTCCTTACATTTTCTTGTAAAAAGAAAGCAAGCTGGGGGCCTGCAGCTGTGGCTCAGTGGTAGAGTGCTTCCTAGCATGTGTGAGGCACTGAGGATCAAAATCCGCAGCACCACATAAAAATAAATAAAGAAATAAAGAAAGATTGTGTCTGTCTACAAATCTCTCTCTCTCTCTCTCTCTCACACACACACACACACACACACAGGAAGAAGAAAAAAGCAAGCTGATCTGTCGTTCCACCACTCCTCACCTAGAACCTGGCTGCCAGTACTAAAGAACAAAGGTAAAACTTGACTTTGGGCAGTGATCTACAGGTGCTGTTTTTTGGTCTCTGTCTCAGGGAGCTGAATGAAATAATTAAGAATTAGGCACTGGCACCATATAATATTAAGGGACAAAAATTTGCAAGACCAACAATCACTTCTGCAGTATTAAATAAAGGTGTTCTAGATTAGTGTGGTGGTAGAGCAATACTCTTGGTGGTAGAGCAAGATTCAGGAGGCTTTCAAACACAAATTTGAGGCCAACCTGGGCAACTTAATGAGACCCTGACTCAAAATAAAAAGCAAAAAGGGGGGCTGGGGATGTGGCTCAATCGGTAGCGTGCTCGCCTGGCATGCGTGCAGCCCGGGTTCGATCCTCAGCACCACATACCAACAAAGATGTTGTGTCCGCCGAGAACTAAAAAAAAATAAAAAATTCTCTCTCTCTCTCTTAAAAAAAAAAAAAAAAAAAAAAAAAAAAAAGGATTAGGGATGTAGCTCAGTGTTAGAATGTCCCTGGTGGGTTCAAACCCCAGTACCACTTCAAAAAAAAAAAAAAAAAATACCATGCACTGTGTGTTAGAACTTACAAATTCAGGATGTTGTTTCTGAATAAGAACAATCATAGAGAGACATCAAAGCAATAGAGAGGGCGCTCCAAACAGCTGGTGTTGATAAAGATTTGCYTGTCTTGCATTTTTGCCCTTGATTCAAAATAACAGCCTTTTATTGACTACACCCAGCTTGGCCCAAAGAACTTGAAGAAATTATAACTTAGGTGATTTGCTGAACATAGTAATTTCTACAGACAGGAGGAAATTGCCATGGATGGCAAAGTGTTACAAAATAATGGGAGGAAAGGTCAGATGGAAAGCTTTGTATTCACTCACATCCTTCTCCTGGATGGTGCATTCTTTACAATAATAGGCATCAGAGACTCCTGGGCCTCCACAGATCACACAGCGCCCCTGGTAAGAACCATAGTTACATTCATCACATATTCGCACCAGAGTGCAGGGGCGCACATAGGAGTCACAGATCACACATTTGCCGTCACCTGTAAGGAAAAAAGAATGTGTCATGTTCACTAGTAAGTATGGGTTGTGAACCCAGGGGCACTCTGCCACTTAGGTACATCCCTAGTCCTAATTTATTTTTAGGAGGGGGGAACTGGGGATTGAACCCAGGGATATTTTACCACTAAACTATTATCCCTAGTCCAGGCTGGACTCAAACTTGCCATTCTCCTGCCTCAGCCTCCCAAGTAATTGAGATAACTGGTGTGTGCCACCACTGCCCAGGATACAGTCTCCTTTACAGTGACTTTAGGGCCCTCCTCTACTTCTGCATGGCAAAAGTTGGCTTATCCAAGTTTTTTTCTATATCCCCTGGACACAAAGGAAAAAATAACCAGTTAACATAACATATATAAACGTCTTGGAATTTCATTTAGGAGATTGTAAGCATTGATAATTGCTGGTAAAAACCTGTGTGTGCACATGGGCATGTGGGCTGGAAAGGATAATGGTAGTCTGCCCATTCTTCCTAATCAAACGCGAGACTTCCTTAAAGCTTAAATACAGTGTTTAAAATGTGCACGTCAGAGTGGGGCGATAGAAGGCGGCTTTAGTGCAGCCTCACACACGTGTTTCCATCCTCCTCCCGGGCACATCTACTCCAAGCTTTCTTTGTGGCACCTCTGGAAATGCCCGTATGTTGGCTCCACAGAAACTGAGTGGGAGGAATGGGGTGTTGAGGGTGTGTTTCACTCACATTTTTCACACAGTCTCCCGATGGCTGTAAGACCAAAGAAGGGACAAGGTACAATTAGTATTAAAGTTTTGACAAAGCGGGGAAGCACATCCTCGAGGTCGAGATAGGCGCAAAGGCGGCAGTGAGACTCATGGGAAGGGCATCTTATTCTCGTGAATCTCAATCTGAGCCAAACCCACGGCCAAAGCAACCTCCCGAAGCCCCTCCCAGGCCCCGGGTAATCTGCGGCAGTTTCTTCAGACTTGCGGCGGAGGCCCTGGCCATCAGCCCCTTTTACCACAAACCCGCGCGCTCCTACAATACCCAGCGACCAAGAGGCGCGAAACGTGGCGACTCYAAGAAAAGACCCTAAAGAGGAATCAAGAATCCCTAGACTCGAAGCGCCTAATATCACCCCATCCACACAAGCCGTGGGCAAGGCCCGCCTCACCAACACCCGCTTGTTTGCGGCAGAAGATCAAATCCGGATGATGTTTGGCCATAACTCCTTCCAAGCAAACTACCGGAAGCCTCGGGAACTTCCGTCCAACCTCTAACCCCCAGGGTTCCTGCCTCCACGTCGCGGTGATTGGTCTTCGAGGCTTCTATCAGCGTTTACGCTCTGATCCAAAACCCGCTAGCTGTCGCGCGATTTTCTTTCATCTGAGGGTAGCTAGGTCTCCGCAGATGCGTAGAACTCTTAAAAAACAACCACAACAAAACACTCTCCCGGATTTGGAAGGTATAGATAACCGAAATTTACTTTCGGATAAGACATCTTTGCAGCACTGACATCTTTGCTTCTGTTTTTTTTTTTTTTTTTTTTTAAACTGGGCATCGAACCCAGGCCTTGTCGCATGCTTGGGCTAGTGTTTTTCTTCAGCTTTTTTTTCCCCTCTCACGCGTTGGTTCCTAACACGTGAGCTCCTCCTACTGCCTTCTCAGGGCAATGGAGCCGGTATGGAGGCCTCGCCTTCCCCATGACGTAGCGCTCTCRAAGCCACGCCCCCAGCACGGCTTTAAATAAGCTGTGTTGCACGTCACTTTTACGCGACCTCATCTTTGTCAGTGCACAAAATGGCGCCTTACAGCCTACTGGTGACCCGGCTGCAGGTGAGCGAGCTYGGGCTCTCTGGGTTCACGGGGGCGGGGTGCTTCCTCCTGTGCCTGTGGCGATGGGCGAGGCAAGGCAAGGCGGGCCGGACCTGGGGCCGACTTCCCGTGTACCCGTCGCTGTTGTGGGCCCAGAGCCGTGCCCGCTTCTCGTTGCCCTAGGTCAAGGCGTCCCCGGCACCGTCAGCTCCCTGGCCATGTCCCCGCCCCGGGGAAAATGTGGCTATAACCTGTGATGGCCTGATGAAGAGTGGAGGCACCTCTTTTTCCTTTCTGAGGACCGCACTTCCCTCTCCCTTAGGGTGTCTTTCTGTTCCTCAAGGTGAGGACAAGGTGACTGGGGGGCGCGGTGGTTGTTGAGCCCTGTACACCAAGTGCCTGAAGCCTTCATCTCTCAGCAACAGATACTTGCAAGCCAGGGGCATCCACAATTGCCATCTGGCCTGGAGGCAGGAGAAGCTAGTTSTTTATATTGTCTTTTGAGGACCTTGCGGAACACGGAGTCACGAATAGGAGAGTGTTCTTCAGGGACCCTGACGTAGTAAATAGTAATGTTTCTCACCGTTGTACCAGATTCCAAAACTGTTTTTAATAACTACTAATATCATTTGATTCATATAATCGTCTGGTGAGATAGATGTGAGATGATTTTTCCCATTGATAGGTGATAAAACTACAAGAAAGTCGGTGAAAGTTCTGGCTCTCAAAGACTGTCACCCTTATTTTGTGGCCTGAGCATTGACCCTCCTGCCCCTCTGTTCTCCTTCTTTGTGTCAGCCTGCCCTCAGAATTTTATGAGCCAGGGTGGGGTCATTTATATTTGTAAGAGTACAGAATGGACTATTTTGAGCTCACAATTAGTTGCTTTTCAAGTACTAGGTGGGAGAGTAAGGAGACTTAGCAGTTTGACCTTGACTCTCCTGTTATGAGCCATATAGAAAGTTGAGTGTAACTGTCAGGTGGGTTTTTACTCCTAACTTGACAACTCCCGGAAGGTGGTATATTCAAAACTTCAATGTCAAATGTGTGTTTTCTTAATAAAAATAAAAAGTTACCTGTAGACATTCCTTGTCAACCTCTTAAGATTAATTTTGAATTTTCTTTGGATCAAGTGGCATAGCTTTGATTATAGAATTAATAGTTATATGCTATAGTCTCAGAAAAAGCATTGTTATTTGAAGTGATTTTTCATATTATTTAAATTTAAGCCAAAAAGTAAAATAATTTATCTGAAAATATTTCTGGTCCCAATTCTGAGCAAAGGTAAAAGATTTGCACTTAATTATCTCTTTAGGTTTTTTGATTCTGTAAGTTAATGATGTGAAAATATTTGTTTTTTCCTGATTCTGCTGTCATGTGATTTAATGAAATTAGGCAAAATTATGTRACAAGTAAATAACTTATTGAGCTTGGAAGAAAGACATAATGTCAACATTTTGAACTGAAAAAGATATTGGAAAGTATGAATATTAGGGTGGTATGGAAAGAGATCTGGACTGTACTTCCATGCTTTTGATCCTTGACCTTCAGCATGTAACTTTCTGAGTCCATTATCAGCTGAGGATAATATTTAAACAGATGATAACTGTGTACTTGCATTGCCACAAAATGATGAGTAAGTGGAATGTATTTACAATCATGTAGTTCATCCTGTTTTACAGAAGGAGAATCCAAGACTTTGAGAGCCTGGGTGATTTCCAGTAGCAGAGTCAGGATTAAAATCCAGGTTTCGGGCTTTGGTTGTGGCTCAGAGGTAGAGCGCTTGCCTAGCATGTGTGAGGCACTGGGTTTGATTCGGTCTTCAGCAYCACATAAAAATAAAATATATTGTGTCCACCTACAACTAAAAAATAAATATTAAAAAAAAAATCCAGGTCTCCTTGTATGTTCATTCAGYGGAGATGGATGAACAGCATTATGCTCTTTGCATTATACCACACTGCGACCCAGTAGAAACATAATGACAGCTAGTACTTGTCTATTGAGAATCTCTTACCTTTACCTCTTTGTTTAGATACTCAGAAATATTTCMGATATTTGAGAAGTGGTAATTATCACCTTAGTAGTCTTTTCTGCAGAACTCAATGATGGAGTCATTTTATTCCCATTTTTCCACATATTTCCTGAGCACCCACTGCTTRCCCTGGAAACACTGGTAAGCAAAGACAATCCCTGATCTCATGCAAGTGTCTACTATATTCTAATGTATCATACTGCAGAGGGTCTCAGAAATCTTTCTTAGCCAAAATATTTTTCTTTTGCTTTTGGCTGGACCAAAGGTGATGATAGATGATAGAATGATGGCTCTTACTACTACCACTATGAGTAGCTAACATCTACATTACTGAGTGCYAGTAATAGTGCATGACTCTGGGATAATGCATACTATTATCCCTGCTTTATGGATGAAAAAGGATTAGTGAAGAGCCAATAGAATGGTTAATGGTATGGATTCTGGCATCAGACCCGCCAAAGTTTGAATCCTGGCTTTAATACTGAGTAACTGTGACTTAGAGCAAGGTACTTAACTTCTCTGAGCCTATTTGCTCATCTGTAAGATATCATAATAATAGTACCTCTATTTTAGTCACATAATAGTTGCAGAGTATTTAGAACCTTGCCTAGCACCTTTTAAGTGTGTTATACTTATTAAATTAGATAAATTTGCATAGGGCCATATCACTGGTAATGGCAGATGTGATTTGGATCTGCCATTGCTGATTTGAAAGCCTGAGGGCCAGCAGCTGAAACTTCCTTTGGCATCAAGAYTCAGCCTTGGACCAAGGCATTATTGATTATTATTATCATAAACTTGAGAACAGTGCTAAATTGTACATACACTGTTGTTTGACAGTACCTGTTACCAGGTAGAACGATTAGAAACTGGGGAAAATGCAAAGTGTGATTCTTTGAAAAGTCATGTTTATTTCTGGTTTTCAGTATTTATTTTTTATGCATATCATATGGATAAGAGGGGTTGGGCACTTCAACTTTTTTTTTTTTTTTTTTTTGTACCAGGGATTAAACCCAGGGTGCTTCACCACTGAGCCACATCTCCAGACCTTTTTTATATTTTATGTAGAGACAGGATCTTGCTGAGTTGCTGAGGCTTGCTTTGAATTCTAAGTCCTCTTGCTTCAGCCTCCCCAGCCACTGGGATTGCAGGTTTGGGCCACTGCTTGGTGGGGTTGGGTACTTCAGATAATTTCTCAGGTCTTTGGTTTTGCCTTAAGTTACTGGAGTTTGGGTTCTCATGACCTTGGGAAGGTCATGTAGCTTCTTGCATATAAATCTAGGATAAATAATTCATGACAAAGAAGTCTGACTTCTTTGGCAGAAGTTTTCTATGAAGAGCTGCGCTTTTTTTTTTTTTTTTAAGTGATCTTGCTTTGAATTTTAAACAGGTTATTCTGGTTGTATGTTCACTTGGATGCCTTCCTGGGATCAAATATTGATTTGAATTGAGTAAATGAATGAATGAATTAGTAAACAAACCTATAGTCTCAAACCTGGGTAAAAGGAATGACTTCATCCTGGGACTAGGGCAGCACACCATTGCCTTGGAACAAATTGCTCCTAAATGCCTAGAACTGCCCTATACCATTGGAATGCAGGGACCAAAGAGGGGGAATAATTTGGGCAAGGTGACACATGCCTGTAGCCCAAATTACTCCAGAAGTTGAGGGGAGACAGAAAATAACCAAGTTAAAAAAAAAACAAAACAAAACAAGAAAATTGTAGCTACAGAATGCTATAGGGAAGATAAAATAGAACCTGGTGCTATGATGCACGCCTGAAATCCCAGTGACTCAAGAGGCTCAGCAGGAGGATTACAAGTTCCAGGCCAACCTGAACAACTTTTTGAGACCCTGTTTCAAATAGTAAGGACTGGGTTTACTCCTCAGTACCAAATGGGGTAGGGGGTAGGGCATTAAGGAAGAGCCAGGCTCAGTGGTGCACTCCTATAATCCAGGTATTAGGGAGGCTGAGGCAGGAGAATTGCAAGTTTGTGGCCATCATGGAAAACTTAGTGAGACTCTGTCTTGAAAATAAAAAGGTCAGGGATGTGGCCCAGTGGTAGAGCGTTAGCCTGGCATGCACTGAGACTGGGTTCAATCCCCAGTACTACATAAAAAGAAAAACAACAACTAGCCAGTTGGCCAGTTGTTAGAGTAGATGCCAGAGGAAACAGGGCAGTGCCAGTAAAGGTGACATTTGAACTGAGGTTTACATGGTAAGAAGGCAGCCAYTCAGCATTTTGGGAGAAGAAGTTTCAATTAAAAGGAGCAGCATATACAAAGTACCTGAGATAGGTGAACACACAACCAGAATAACTGATAAGGCAAATCAGTGTGGTTGAGGTGACTTTAGGAATGGGAGGATCTGAGCAAGAAGTTAGGCTCATGCAGGTTTCCATATGGAAATTGGGTTTTGCTTCAAATGTAGTGAAAATCCACAGGAAAGTTTTAAGGTAGGGAGTAACATGATCTGATTTATGCTTGAGAAAAATCATTCAGGCTGCTATATGGATGATGGACCATAGAGGGTTAAGAGAGGAAGCAGGCACAGTGACATGCCTATAATCCCAGCAATTTGGAAGGTTGAGACAGGAGGATTACAAGTTTGAGGCCAACCTCAGTAATTTAGGGAGGACCTTTGCAACTTAATGAGACCCAGTCTCAAAAAGGACTACAGATAAGCTCAGTTGTAAAGCACCCCTGGGTTAAAATCAGTACCAAAAAAAAAAAAAAAAAAGGGCAGGGCTGTTGCACACCTGTATTCCTAGTGACTTGGGAGACTGA